GACCTGGATTTTTAGGCCGACTTTCCCGTAATAGTTAAGGTTCCATCTTTTGGTGGGTGCCTCTGCTGGAAATTATGGTTTTATAATGTGCAGTGTGTTCAAATTCTTCTGTTTTCAATTTCTTTCATTAAGCTACATTTGATTCAGAAAGGCGGATTATAACTCAGTAGATCAAGATGCATTGTCTATATGAGAATCGCATCTCAAGTACTGTGATGCATTCCATGATATTTATAGCTTATTTTTACTTGGCTCCTCTTTAACTATAAAATTCATGATCTTATTCTTTCAATTACAGTGATTTGTTTCACATTTCTTATGTGCAGTTATTTCACATTTCTAATGTATGTACGAATTGTATCTAAATTTGCTAACTCCAAATAGTTGGGATAAGGCTCGGATGATGATGATGATGTCAATGAATTATAGCTTCTATTTTGTGAAATTCTTTGATATCTTTATGTAATTGAACTGCTTCTAAACTTATAAGCTCCCAAGTACTACTAATAGTTGCCATATGGTAATGGATCCAAGAGTCCTTACCTTCCTTTATGTGATCTCAATTTGGTAGTCCAAGTATTTATCAATTTTGTATATCCTGCAGGCAAGCATTTGCTTCATTGTCTTGTTACGAAGTTATCTTCTTCATTTATCGGATTTGAAGTGTGTTGCTGACGTACTGAACTTTTACTAAATTTATGTTCTGCATTTGAATTTAGATTGTAAAATTTTAAACCAGCTTGCATGGTGCTTAATTTGATGGTGTCTAAGCAAGGGTGTCTTTGGCATTTCATGTTTTTTTATACGCAGTTTCCATTGGGGTCTGATATTGTTATCATATTTTTTCTTGTTACACATTACCACTTGGTTTATAATCTATGTATACGACTTCTTGCTATAGGGAATTTGATCTTTTTTGTAAATTTTTAATGTTTAGTAACCTATGTGCATTCACGTGTTTTGTATATGTAGAGGGGGGAATTGTCTCCTGTCCTTACTTACATTCAACCCCTATTTGTCAGCCTTATAGAGTCATGTTTTATTTTTTTTCTACTGATTCTTAGAATGAATTGTTTTATATTAGCTGAAGGGAAACGCAACCCCTATTTGTCAGCCTTATAGAGTCATGTTTTATTATTGTTCTACTGATTCTTAAAATGATTTGTTTGATATTAGCTGAAGGGAAAGGAAGGGTGTTTTGTGGCCTTTCTAGGATCGGTCCAGAGATTCAATTATGGCTCCAGTGAAATTTCATATGGCTTTGGAAGCAATGGGAAACATTGGAATTCCTCCCAAAGCTGTAACACCTGTCCTTAAAAACCTCTTGAAGCTTTATGATGATAATTGGGAGCTTATCGAAGAAGAAAATTATAGAGTTCTTGCAGATGCTATCTTTGAAGCCCAGGAGACCAAGGTGCAAATTCAATTAACATTCTTAATTACTTTTCCAGTCTGACTTCCATTTTTTCTTTGGTTGATTCCCATTTGATCACAAAAATGACATTTGGGATAAAGAATTTTTGGAATGACCAATCAATAGTGATATGTTTCCTCATTAACTTGCTGATTTTTTTAAGCAGAAGCAAGAAAGAAAGAGGAAAGCTGAGAAAATTGATGTATGTCAGCCATCCTTGCCTTACGACTGTTTGCTTCACTTTTTATCCTGAGAACTCTTTTATCTCTGTTTCCTTTTATTTATGTGTTTTGGTATTTATCCTTTGATCAGAGAGAAGATGATAGGAACAAGGAAATTGAGAGAGATGAGACAATGCCTACACCACGTACACGTTCTCGCTTGAGGATAGAAGAGCCATCTTCACCATTCCTGAGAACAGAAGAGCCTGTTGCTTCACCCTTGAGATTAGAAAAGCCTCCGGCAGCATGCACAACTCATTCTGGTTTTGGAGTAGGTGAAAGCTCTTCAAAAGAACCTAAACGTGTACCATCTGCTTGCCCTGCAAGTGGTGAAAGGACATGGAAACTAATAAAATCTGAGGAGCCTGATTTGCCGTGTACTAATTTGGGGCAAGAAAAGGCAGCAAATGAGGCAGTTCCTAGCACCAAAAGGTGCTTAAAAATGCCTAAGATTGAACCAGGCATTGAACCCTTACCTGATGCGTCTAACGCAAGGGAACCTTACGATGATGGTCCAACCCCATTGGATAAGAGGTCTCCTGCAAAACTAAAGTCTCCTTGTGATAGGTATATGCATAGTGAGAAACAAAAGGATCGTGTCGATCATGACAATATGCCTAATCATCACAGTAAGAGTCCATGCCAGCTGAACACTGAGGAATTGCCTAGCTGTTTCCAGCAAGTGGAGTTTGAGGTTCCTATTGCAGTGATCCCACCACTGTTCTCTAATGTATCTGATGGTACCCACTGTTATGGTTTTTAGGATGTACATGGTTGATTGGTTGAAAAAGTAATGCCAAATCTCATGGAATATGGAACAACCATAGTGCATTGGATCATCACCATCCATAGGAATGTTGGATGGTAATGGAGAGTGAATGGAACCCGCAATTGGGTCATGTCCTGGTTTTTGCTGGGTCCTACATGCTCTTGATTACCATCTGTCATTTTTGCGCATGATGACGACCTTTATGGATTAAGGTTTTCTTATTTTCTAGTTGACTATTGTGTACTTTCCCTAAACAGTTACTTTTACTCCTGGATGCCTGATAATTTTTTCTTCCAAACTGATTGGATTCTTGAGCTCTTTTTGAACAGTAATGCTTAAGTTAGGTAATTCCCTAACCCAATTTGTGCTTTGTTTTTCTTTTTTCGCCTATCCAGTGCCTAAAGAAGGTCCCTCCTCCAGATATGAGTCTTTTGAGAATACAAGTGTCCCAAATTCCCCTTCTGCAAATTATAAAGATCAAGTGGGAGAAGAGGATATGCCCCCCTCTTCCAGTGGACCATGCCGAAATTCTAATCGTTTGGAACTTGTTAGTGTTCCTGAGGCAACTGCGAACTATGAGATTGCCTCATCAAGCTCAGGAGAGGTTAAACTTTCTCTATCATGTAATTCTGCTCACGGGTCTCCTGACTTTCATGTGCCAAGTTTGGAGGCAGTCCTAAAATTGGCAGAGGATCGTGCTCTCAAGACGTACAGAATTCTTGATCCCAGCTTTTCCATTATGAAGTTAATGAAGGACATGTGCCAATGCTTTCTAGAACTGAGCACTGGCAGTACTTCTGGTGATGAGGAAACCCATGTGAACCCAACTCCAAACATTAACTTGTTCTCTTCCAATAATCAAGACCATGGGCTTGATGCTAAAGGGGTTTTTGCTTCAGGTAACGGTGTGCCAGTTACTTCGAAGGATTTAGCATTGAATCATGCTCAAAGTTTTCGTTTATCTGTTGATGAGAAATTCCTCCAATTTCCAAGGCAAATAAACTTACATGGCATGGATGGACTCTGCCGAAATGAAAGAGCTAAAACCAATGACAAGGGTAAGAAGAAGAAAGAATTGGGCCCAGATCCCAACTCACGAATGTTGGTTGTTTCTTCACAAGCCCAACTTTCTATGGATGAAGCCAGGATAGTGCACTGTGTGAATGACATATCCAAAGGTGAAGAGAGTGTGAGGATCTCAGTGGTAAATGAAGTTAGCAGTGAACGCTACCCGCCCTCATTTCAGTATATCCCAAAAAATATTGTTTATCAAAATGCATATGTAAATTTCTCTCTTGCTCGCATTGGTGATGAAGACTGTTGTCCGGAGTGTTTTGGTGATTGTTTATCTTCATCACTTTCATGTGCCTGTGCTCGTGAGACAGGAGGTGAGTATGCCTATACTTTGGATGGCCTTCTCAAGAAAGAATTTCTGGACCAAGCACTTTCTATGAACCGAGACCCAGAAAAGCATCATCACTTTTACTGCAAAGATTGCCCCCTTGAAAGGTCAAGGAATGAAAACAAACCAGATGCCTGCAAAGGGCACCTGGTAAGAAAATTCATTAAGGAATGCTGGAGCAAGTGTGGCTGCAGCAGACAATGTGGAAATCGAGTTGTGCAGAGAGGAATACAATGCAATTTGCAGGTCAAAATTTCTCTTGTATCTGGGATGTGTTTCGATTGTTACCTGTTCTAACGCTGTCGAAATCTACGTATAACAAACTTGAGGATCTTCTTAGAAAAATTTCATATGATTCTTAGATTATCATATCATATAGCTATTTGATTGCCTTTTCCCATAAAAGTAGAAGTAATTATACAATTGAGATATTCTGATGGCATGACTGTGTGCTTCTTTATCTCCTTTGTCTTATAATTCTTTCTATTGAATTCTCATTTATGGATTCTATATTTACCTATTTTCTATCCATGAGATAGCAAGCTATTCTCAATGTTATTTCTTGTATTTCAGGTATTTTTTACCTCTGAAGGAAAGGGATGGGGTCTTCGGACTCTCGAGGAATTACCTAGAGGTACTTTTGTATGTGAGTATGTTGGTGAAGTGTTGACTAACACCGAGCTCTATAATCGAAATGCTCAAGGCAATGGAGATGAAAGGCATACATACCCAGTGCTACTGGATGCTGATTGGTGTACAGAGGGAGTATTGAAAGATGAAGAGGCACTTTGTCTGGATGCAACACATTTTGGAAATGTTGGCAGATTCGTCAATCATAGGTAATTTGCGCATGAGAGTTTCAATATTTTTGGTGCAGTTCGGCGCTACGAGACTTAAGTCTCAGGTCACGAGATGATTGGCCTGGAAATTTTATTTCTGAGCTTTTAATTAGAAGGCCTTCATTGTTAAAAAACTTTGCTTGGGCTTGGGACTTGACACCTATTGGGCCGAATGACTCGGGCGACTTCGGACTCAGTTGAGTCCTGCTCAAGCCAAAAAATTGCCTGAAAAGTCGCCAAAAAAATACAAAATTGTTAAAAATAGTTAAAAGAAAACTAAGTTGTAACATCATTTAATATCGATAAAGGATGAAAAAATTGTATATAGAAGATTTGATATATAGTTGGAAACAATTCAGAAAAATGAAAAAAGGAAAAAATAGAAAATTGGAGCATATAAAAAGAAAATTTCACAAATCATCATTAAAAACATAAGTATTATTTAGAAACATATTTTTGAATCATTTATTAGTGATTTATTAAATAAATTCTTTATTTTTTATGCAAATTTAAGAAACCCATATTTGCCTCAGAAACTTGCTTCGGCAGAGTGCCGAGGCCAAGTTTTGAAACACTGAAGGTATTTGTTCTGAAACTACATTCTTTATGCTTACCCATTGATATGGATATTACTGCTGCTGATTTAGGGAGTTGACTTTAATTGACTTTGTGACCTATATATTTTGATGGTAATCAATTTCACTTGTGGTTCCTATTATGGCCACGCTGACCATCAAACTTCAAAAAGTCGGCTACCCAGCCTCTTAGGCGGGTTGCCCAGGAGGTTGGGAGGCCTCACTGCCGGGTGACAGCCCAGTGCGGCTGACTAATCGCCTAGGGCACCGCTGAGGAGCTATATTGGTGAGGGCAGAAATTGCCCTTGCTAAAAGGGCAGAAAATGTAATTTCCCCCCTTTAAAAGGGGGGAAATAATATTTGGCTGGCATTTTGGCTCCTGGAAACCCTAGAGACCTATATTTGTGCCCCAAAAACTACTTTTTTAGCTCAAAATTGATTTCTTTTTTAATGATCGAATTCCAATTCGAAGTTTTCAACTTCTCGTGGCTTTTTACCTATAAAACGTTTTGCGGATTAAAGTGGTTGCAAAAGAGAGATTTTGGCAACTGAAAGTGGCCGATTCAAGCCTCCTTCGATTAGCTTTCAAAAAGTAAATTCAATTGTTTATGTCTAGGATTCATATGTTTTGTGAGTGTTGTGTTATGTTATGCTTTTTTAATCATTTTTTTGTGTTTATTTTTTGAAGTTTGGCTGTACTTTTATGATAAAACTTCGTTGAGTGCCTTTTTTGTCTTTTTTAAGGTTTCTATTTCCGTGATCATAGTATATTTTTGGCTATGGTTCTAATTCATAATGGAACTTTGGAAAGTGTTGAAATCTAACTTTTGAGCTAAATTTTTGCGACTTTTTATATCTTAAACGGCTAACGCCTAATGGATGTAAATTCATGGTCTATGAGTTTTTATTTTGGCTTAAATGGTTAATAGATGTAAACTTTTGAGCAATTTCAAAGGTTTTGTTTTGGACATGTGTATTTTAGTGTCAAACAATGTTTTAGAAAATGTTGATATTATATGGATTAGAATTGGTCGATCTAGATCAGGAATTGTTCTAGACCGAACTGATTCCTCTAAATATATCGAGAACATGGTGGTTCCATAAAGAACCAGTTGGTTATTGGACAGAACTGGTCTGTTCGTGTTAAGGAACCGGGCGATCCGGCCCCGCTGGATGTCCCAATTTCCACTTTTTTGTTTTTTATTTTTTATTTCTAATTTATTGATTCTTAATTGGATAATTCGCTCGGCCAGATTGTTGATCATTCGCCGATCCAGACCAGTTTCCCGGATGGGCTTGTTCACTCAACCAATCTAGGTTTTTAAACATTGATTTTAAATGTAAATCTTTCGCATTGGTTAAATATGTTTGAAGTTTGAAAACTCTCCCCTCCCCCACCTTTAAAGAAAATAAGAGCAAATAAAGGTATTTCTTGAACATTTCTTACCATAATGTTCATGTAATTTAGTAATCTACAATAAAAACGTTATGCACATTACACCCCAACCACAGAAAGTAGGGTCAGCAGTCTGTTGAGTTATCAGACCTGACTACATATTGATGTCCTGGTATTCATGTTGACAAGACAGATATGTGCATGGAAGAGGGCACATTTTGCGTGATGTTACTTCAAGCTGCAGGTTAATGATTCATGCACTCTTCCCATGGAGGTAGTGCATGACGCTTTGCTACACTTGCTTGCATTGCTTGTGAAACAGAATTTGTGATGGTTTTGTCTGATGATTCATTATGAAGCCTCTATTGCCATATCCTTTACAAAAGTATAAAGGGACCAAAGTTTGGGAATCTTAAAAGATTTGACGTGGTTCCTTTACCCTGCATGCCATACGAATCTTATTTGTGTTGGGTGTACTGGGAGAACTTACCAAAAATAATGATGGGATCTGTAGGGGTAAGTTGGTCCAATTGAGATGAGAAGGTTATCAGGAACATTAGTCTCACTGTTTATGCAACCTGCAGGTATTCTTGACTTGAATATAAGAGAGTAACTTACCTTGTGGTCATATTCAAACCTTTTTTCCTTGTTTTTGAAAATGATGGTTGTATTCATGCTTATAAGCATAAAGATTAGGGTTGTGCAATTGGAAGAACAGTTGAGATGTCAAATTGGATGGCTTGGGTTGTTATGAAGTTCAATAAATTTTTTTTGAACTTTGACTCTAGTCAATGTCACTCTTGCGACCACCCGATTTGAAATTTGAGGGATAATAGTGATAGTGACCTCCTTGTACTAAAAGTAAATGGTCTCTTTGTATTACTTTTCCTTAACTATATGAGGACTGCGTATCAATAAAAGATTGTATTTCTCTGCGATTATTGTCTTACTCTATATGTTAATTTAACAAACCTAAAGTTTGTATATACTGTATAGGATACATAGACATACACACACAACAATTTGTCTATGTGATAGTAACACACACAGGTATCTACAAATTTATTAAGCATTCTGTATCTCATATAATGTATGTAGCGAGTACTAGCAAGTGTGTTTATGCTATCTAGTATACAATTTGCACCTCTTGGCTTCTACCATTTGTTTGACTGTGCCGATGCTGTACGAGTTGTTTCGATTCTGAATTTTCATGAACATACAAGCTTGGAGTGGCTTGCCACATTGGAGAAGAATTTATGAGACATGAATTGGTCTTCCGAATTGTTATCGACCATGCATTAATATATTGGATAGCACCATGACCTTTTAGTGGCAAACATTGCATGAAGAGTCAAAGCCTAAAGTGGGATGTCACTTCATAGGGTGGTCTGAATGTGTGTGCACAAATGCATGTTCAAAGCACACATTTGCAATCTCTGTAGAGCCTTTTTATATTTATCGTAGAAGGGCTGTCTTATTTTTGTTCTTGATGCTTAAATTTTATATTTATCTGTAATTTCTATCTTATATTTTTCTTTACTTCTTGTGGTGCATATTATTCTAGGGGTTCAGACATTCAATTCAGTGCCACAAATGTGAGTATTTTCTTATTCAAATGTTGTTTGAATTTGTCAAATTATCATTATGGTGCGTTTAGCATCTAAACGTTGACCTAGTAACTATGCTCTTCTACATTCCTATTGGTCCATCAAAGTCTTGGACAGGTAGCAACATGCTTAGGTGTGTAAAGTTGGTTCCCAGAAACTACACATATTCGGGGTGTCCAGTCACATGGCAGTACTCTTGTCTGTTTTGAGCCCCTTGCACAATTTCATGGGTCATGTCATGTGAGCTCAGTTAAGAATGAACCAGATCTGCGATCAACATTTGTCAGATCATGTATGGTTGGCGTGGTTGAAAAGGAACATGGACAGTCTGCTGGCCTATTGTTTCGCGGCTACCTGCGTTGAAGTGATACTGCAGAGCTAAATAAGATAATCCACATATTTAAGGTGAAACTCATTATTCCATCTATATGATCCAAATGATCAGAGGGGTGGCACACTGGCTTGTGTTTTGTCCGGACCTTGGGTTACATTAAGGGTTGTTGTAGGGCGGAAAGGGATGGCTTGTTTTGTGGATGGTGTATTATGCTATGATGTATGTCTCAGCATTCAAGTTTAACAGGGATGAGGATTCAGGCTTGGGCTTGATTGGTTAAGGACCTTAAGATGTTTTACAACACTATATCCCCAGTTGGAATCTTATAGCTGAACTACCATTAAAAGAAAGAAGTTCGACAGGATCCTAATAAAATCTTTGATAGATCAACCGTAAGTTGTGTGGTTTCAAATGAATTTTTGAACTGGTGAACGTAGTTTTTGGGTTCCTGGAACTTGGAATTTGTTCAACCCTTGAGGAATGTTGCACCGAGCTATGTTTTGGACATCATTCTTTTGCTTTATGATGCAATGAAGTTTTTCGATCCTGGGCCAGCACAACTCACTTATATCCATTATTTTGAATTCTTCCTTGTGGTTTTCTTTGTTCCCATCATCTCATGCAAGATATGTCCGCATTTAAATTTCAATCACTGGATTTAAGTTTGCATGAACCAAGCATTCGAGAAGTGTATTACAAAATTGGTCCAGAAAAATCGTAGCACATAAATTTAAAAAACTGATGTATTCAGTTGATGATGCTTCATGCCATTGGTAGAACTTGTATTAATGGTTTTGCAAATTGCATGAACCCAGCACTAAATTCATTAGCAAACTTGTTCAATTCTAAATGGTTGGCACCATTGGCATAGAGACCGAACTAGTTGTCTTATCAGTTAGGAGTTGACCGTATCCCAATGGGTCTCGATGGTGGGTCAGTTGGATCAGTCTCAAAAGATAGCATAAATAATGGACAAAATTAAGGAAATACAAATACAAAATTTTTTGCCTCATTGTTCTGGCACATTTCTCTGGGTTTTACTTAATTTTTCAGTTTTTAAGATAGAATGGGCAGTTCCTGGCCTAGTTCCTTGTCGAATTTGTTGGCCTGATACTGTTCTTCTAATGTTGGGACTTAGAACAATCAACCTGAAATATGTTACTACATCATACACTGGTTTTTGGTCATCATTCTGTTCGAATGCCATCTGAGTTTGGATGAAATTTGGAAATGCTTGTCTGTAAATGACTGAATTTTTCTAAAACTTGGGTGAACTTTGAGAATCAAACATGCATATCAAAAGAAGAACTTTGATATTCATGCAAACAACATACTGTTTTCTTTTAATAAAAATTGCTCTATAATGTTTTTTTTATTAATGTAATGACTTCTAGGTGTGGTGATGCAAATTTGGTGGAGATACCAGTTGAAATAGAGACGCCAGATCATCACTATTATCATGTATGCAATCTTACCGACCTATTTTTTCTTGAAATATAGTATATTCTTAGTTTTCTTTTGATATAGAGCCTTTTTTATGGGAAACGTTTATATAGAGCCAAGGCTCCAAACAATCAAATTTGAGCCTACCTCAAAAACTTCACTAGAAGAGGTTGTTTTGATGCCCAAATGTCTTCAAATTGATCATCTCAATATCAAGATGCATGGACATGAGAAAAAAAATGGATTTCAAGTTTTGGAAATAGTGTATTTTGTGACACATTTTTGCACCGTCAATTTTCAAGATTTTCAAGTTTTCATAGATCTGTTGATCTACACTATTTTTGAAGTTTTAAACTTTATAAATAAAGGTGAAAATATATTTTAAGGCTATCACAAAGATTTCCTGTATTGAAACCACATTTCTCGATACTATTTGAAGGTAGGCTCTAATTTGATTGTTTAGGTCCTAGGCTCTATACAAACCGCCCTTTTTTTTCGTGTTTAATATTGAACTTCGAAATCCAAATCTTTCTATTGATATGTGCAGCTTGCCTTCTTTACAACGAGAAAAGTAGAAGCACTAGATGAGCTTACTTGGGTATGTAACTTGACTTTTGGTAGACATGCTTGTGATGATTGTTTAGCTGTTTTGCTCAGCAGTGATTTGCCTGTTCTTCTATCTGACAATAATCATTGGATCTTGGATGAGCAAGAAATGTCCTTGGATACTTAAACGCTAGAAAGTTGAATGGCAATGCATTATTCCTTTAGATGAACCGGTTTTGGTAAAACTAGCCAGGATCCCCATGGTCGGTCTCCTTGGAATATTTAATTTTTACTTTGATTGGGAGTGTTATTGGCTTCCCGAATTCTGAAGATTCTTTTTGGTCTTGCAGTTCTATGTTTAAGAAAGAAAAAGTATTCGTTCCATTTATTTCTTCTGCAGCTCCATCTGCTATCTGTTCTGCTATTTATTCACAAAAGAGGGATCAATGTGTTTTTGAACAAAGTGGTTCTTGGGGAATAGAGATCTCCAATCAGAAGTCTCTTCCATGTTTGTCTTAAAATGAATTAAGCCTTTTTAGCTGTAAATTTGGCTTTAGAGTAATATATAATGATATGAATAAATCAATAAACCTTGCATTCTTCATGTAATTAATGAGTTCTATCTGATCACCATCATCTCTAGGGATTTAGCATGGATCCTTCAATAATGAATTTCTTTTGTGAAATTAAATCCCATGTTGGTATTTCTATTAGAGCTCTCACTTTTCTGTTATAAGTATCAATAAGCTACAGCATTGCAGTTCTTGTGCAGTATGACCACTAGATTCCTTTCATAGGTTGTTTTCCACTGCACTTGTGGCATTTGTTGCAGGACTATGGTATAGATTTTGAAGACCATGACCACCCTGTGAAAGCTTTCAAATGTCTATGTGGAAGCAAACTCTGCAGAGGAATTGGGCAACGAAGCAGTAAGTACCTTCATGCACCATTAGATTTTCTTTTTCTAGCTTCTTTCCCCTATTTTAGGCTTTTGGCCTTACACGCTATCATTTCAAACTAATTTTTGTGTGGGGGAAAACTAGTGAAATCCCATGCACCTTGAAGATTACGAAGCAAAAGCCACACTCATTTTGTTCTATAACCTAGCCTAATGTATTTAATTTAGAAAAACTACACTTTTTTTTATAAGAAAAAGAGAAAAAGAGTTTATTTCAGTGCGAAGAGAGAGAGAGAGGCAGAAGACGAAAACGGATGCTGCCAGGGGAGGGGGGGTTTAAAAATGAGGTCGTTGTCTTTAACATGCTTCCTGAATGTGAGGTCTTGGTTTTTCTCACCATCTTGTCTCTCTTTTTTAACTTGCTTTGATTCGAACGGTTTCTTTTTTCCTGAGATAGTGGCAGTTTAGATTATTTTTTTTTGCCTTTCTCCTCCTAATATTGAGCCTTCGCTATTTTTAGGGACAAAGGTCAGGCCGCTTACTGTTGACGGCTCATACCGAACATGATTCTGAGATCTCTCAACTTCACTATAACTGGTTTCAACGCATTAGCATACTGGGTTCTGAGTAGATGGACAAAATTGTACAGTGGCTACCAGTTCAAATCAATCTAATTAGGCGTTTTCCTATGTAGTTGTTTTATATGTTGTCTTAATACTTTTGGATCTAATTCTATGGATTGGTGGCGGTTTTACGGTTCTTGGTTGTGGCTTTGTTTGGATATTTTCTGGAATTTTGGTTTGCTGTTGCAGAAGGGGAATTGGCTGAAAATTAACATGCATTAATCTAAATTTGGATAAAATATAATAGAATATATATTAGGTTATGGTTTGCATAACGTGCCAACTTTAAACGATCAGAGTAAACGTGTCACCCCAAATTTTATTGGAAGATGTAATTTTGGTATCTGAAATTATTAAAATGGCTGGAAAATCTATTTTTACTTTTTAAAAAAACAAAATCTGTTATCGACTATAATTATCAAATTTAAAATTTTAAAAATAGTACTAATCGAACATATCTATAAACACTTTAAAAATCTTGATAATAAATGGTATATATTTTGAAAAACTATTTGTAGGATTTGAAATTCTCTTCATTTATATATTCGAAACTTCTTTCTTTCTCTCTTCCTACATCTTTCTCTCGTGTTTTTTAAAACACCACTCTTCCTAATAGCTTCTCACCTCCATGAAGCTTTCTCTCTCAAGAAGTTTGGGAGAATGGCTTTTAAAAAATGCATATCTTTTTGGATTTGTTTGGTCTAAAAAAAAAACAGGTTTAAATTAACTCAAGGGTTAAAAGAAATGAAATGTACAATTTATATGCCTCAAAATATCTTTTAAAACTTTGGATCTATTATGTAATGGAACTTAAAAATATGGGGTATGAAAATATTTTCCTTAAAACTTTTTCTTTAATACAATATTTGCCGTATTTATGCTGGAATCCGGAAATTCATGGCATGAAATGTTTTGCCCAAAGTTTTCAGTAATAATAAAGAGGGAAACTTACAATCTAGTGGGGCCTCTACAAGTAACTTATGCATGCTTAGGCGCAGGTGTTTGATTCAAGGAAAAAGTTTGTACAAGGCGAGGCCCTAAACAATCAAATTTCAGCACACCTCATAAAGTTACTAGGTGGGTTCACAAAAATGCTCAAGTCAATCATCTCGACTTCAAGTGTATAAATGAGAAAAGATAGACTTCAAGTCTCGGACATATGGCATCCTATAATGCATTTTTTGAACCCATAATTTTCAATTGTTTATAGATCGGTTTGATTTACACTGTCTTAAAAATTTTTAATTAGAGATGAAAATAAATTTCGAGACAATCACAAAGATTTCAGTACTGAAAAAAAATCTTTTTTAAAGGTGCGCCTTTGATTATTTAGGGCGTTAGCTTTATATAAACCACACCCTTTATGTAATGGAGCACTCATAAGACCTCAACGACAATTAAATTTTGACTTATCTTTATTTTATAATGATAACTTCCATATCTGTTAATTATTATTCTGTAAAATAAAATAATCACAATACGATATTCTCACAATAAATACTATTTCCAATATGGATTGTATACAATAAGACTATTTACCTTTGATATAAGATGGTCACAATTACTTACAACCATCCGATGTGAAATTTAAAAAAAATTATTTGAAGTTTGAAATTGGTCAATGGAATAAATACAGCCACTCAATTTCATATCCAATGGTCAAGATTAATTGTGACTACCTAGTACAAAAGGTAAATGGTCTCATTCTATGCTTTTCCTTTAATAACATGTACATATAAAATGTAAAACTCGAATTTGAAAAGAAACATTCATTTGCTTATAAATAGCTCTAAGAATATTAATAAAGTAAATGGGACGCAGTTTACTAGAAATTTTGAAGGAATTGATTTGATTATTTTATTTTTTATATATATTAATAAATATCACAACAATGTGCAAGCAATTTGCATAGACATGTATGGCTAAAGCTATTTTGTCTAATGAGTTCTGATATATTTTAGTATTTGTATACATTATTAACACTGTTATTTACAAACTTCCATACAAATGAAGCTCAATCTTGGTGAGATATTTCGGTTTTGGGTAGCATTTCACTGTAATGAGGCCATACAAATGAAACTGAATTAGTCACTAAGTTTGTTGGTTTTTGAAAGCATTGCCTTGCTATACAACTGAAGAAGCTGAGACACTACGAAATTTGTTGGTTTTTGATAGCATTTCCCTATTATGTGGCTTGCTGAGGGTTTCATGTGCATAGCCCAAAGGCATTGCTGGTCTGATGCCTCCGGGGTTCAGAGGGAAGAGAATGCGATAGTAACCGTCCATGATTGCATCGAAGTTGCATGTGGCTGCAACCTTTGGAATCTAAGCAAAACAAAACAGTATAAAGAGAATACATTAACAAAAAAAAATGAATGCATAACATGTAAATTTAAATGGTACAGTAGAGGTCAAGGGAGAAAAATTTCCCAATTATCAATGCATTTCTAATCTTGATTTCTTTTCATTTTCTGGCAAGCTGTTCTGCTAGTTGAAAAAATCTCCTTACTATTTGAGAATTTGTAAATACTTTCAGAAAAGATATTTCCGGGCTCTAGCTTTTTCTCTCAGTTTTCTATTCTTTTAAGGAAAGTTCCAGAAAAAAGATATTGTTAATTGCAGCATACAAATAATTCAATAAATAGAAACTTAAATTTCTCCGTTTTTAAATTTACCGTTTCGATTTTTTTTTTTCCCAAATGTTCCCCAACATGTTCCTGGACTTTATCTGAAAACTCCAAAATTTTAGACTCCCCAAGGGAATTCCACACATCATAATAAAATGCTATCATACCCAACTCTCACCCATCAAGTATATGAACACTTTCTGATCAGTAAACCCTTTTATTTTTCTATTCATGGAGTATCAGATTGAGAGTTACCTGATATATGTCAAGCATATAACCATGGAGAGTAGGGTACTCTATCAACTTCTTCTTCGTACATTTGAATAGAACATTATATACTAGATCAAAGCGAATCAAAGTGGTAAACAAGCAAATATCAGCAAGTGTCAGTGCATCACCACATAAGTAACGGTTAGTGGCCAAGTGGGCATCGATCTTATCTAATGTACTGAACAACACCTCAACAGCACTATCGTATGCCTCTTGGCTCTGTGCAAATCCACATCTGCAGAAAAATAGTAATAGTGTGTTTTCAACTTCCAATTCTGGATGTCACTTCCTCCATAGATACATCGATCTTTAATACATGAGCAAGTTTATAGTGGGTTTTAATTTTCAACTCTTCACTTCTTTCGATGATATATCAATCTTTTGTTGATACATAGTACAATTGTCAAAGGCAGCAAGAGGAGAACATCGCTTTTCAGATCAGATTCATATATGCTATTTGAGAACTATCCGTTGAATTAAAAAGTAAATATTCCAGAACAAAAAGAAATAAAAAAATCCAGAACATCAAATGAATATGCAGGGTACCAAACCACAATTCCACATAAGGAAGTTTGAATTTTTGCAGTTGATTGAATAAATAAAAGATGTTATGTACAAAAACCATTCAATTCAGGTACTTGAATGCACATAGAAAAGGAGAGGTCAAGTTTCTTATTGAACAATGTGAAAACACCATGTACGGCATTTTAGCATAGGATAGTATTTGCATCCAACAATTCATTTAACTTGGATTTGGATGCAAGCACGGATGTCACGCACGGCACAAACATGGATATGACGCTGCAAATTTAGTAAATGTAGGATGAGAGTAAATGGCATATGTTTTATATTTAGATATAGATTTAGAAGAATACAAAGTATATTAAGAACTCAATAACCACGCTGAAGTTAAGTAGTACAGTATTGAAGTCATTTATGAACGTATAAATACTTTAGAGGTAAAAATTTAAAAAGTCTTATATGAACAATTATACAATGGTTAGTCATTTCCATCCATGATATTCAACAAGATTAAATACAATCATGTTTTCTTACTTCGAGAGGATCAATTATTTATGAACTGTCTATGTTTTCATATTTGAAAGAGAGTACTCTTAACTTGTTTTTATCTGCCATTTCAAGTGAGACCCATGATATGTGACACCAAAAATGGGGACAATAAATAATACTAACTTGACAAGTAACCATATTGCTAGGAGAGCACAAAAATTCCCCAAGGATGTATACATAATTTAGAGAGACTGCTTGCTTATGGTTGACACCCAAAAATATAACACATTGGACACGGTTGACTAGAAAATGGAACTTTCTTTTAAAGACAGCATAAAATCACCCTAAGTTTCACCTCAAAAGGTACAATATGTGTGTTTGTAAGGATTTGATTGGAATTTTATGTGACTGAGAACGGGAATTTGACAACACTTGAACGTCAACTGTGCATTTATTATATGTCCTCCTTTTGTGCCATCGTTGAGAAGATCAACTTCGTCAGACATATGAGATTTGATATATTGAGCTTCAAGATTCACGAACACTAGGAGACCTAAAATTTTTTTCTCGAACAATACATTTTCTCAAGAGGAACTATAATTAAATGTAGCAAGAATTGCAGAAACCAAACAAAATCCAATCCACTGCACCATGGCCCCAAAAAGGAACCAACATAAATATTATCATAAGCACTGGAAGACAATCTATCATAGACAAAATAGGAAAATTGGTGTGCATTTTGGGAGTAGAATTCACCTTTTCACACACCTTATGAAATTAATAGAGGTGGGTGCTCTCATTCTGCTTTTTTATGCTTTTGATATACATTCTTTCCCTATATAGATCCCATTAGCCCAAGAGAAAACACTGTAAATTCTCTACCAACAAGTACGGCTAGACAAAGATCGAAAATCACGGGCAGCTTGGGTGCGCACCCATAGTGATATACTTCACCCACCTTCCCCCAAAAAAAAAATAATAAAATAAAAATAACCAGGCAATTATCATATAGTTTCTATTTGGCGGACTTTTCTACACAAGCAAAGTTCCAAAGCTGAATGCATAACAAGGAGTTGCAGAAGACAATTGCACTAAACCCATAAAGTGGTCCATCAAACAGGTCTCGATTTTACATAACACTCATGAAATAGATTACAAAAGGTGACAAAATGCAACACTTGAGGTAAGAAATTGGCAAATTTGGTTCAACCCAATGTTTAAAAAGTTGGACCGGTGGGCTAAACCAGTCACTCACTGGTACCAAGTCGAACAAGCAAAGTCGCAAATCATAAAAAAAAATAAAGGAAGCGAAAAAAATGCAAACGAAATTTAAAATATTTAAAAAAACATTTAGGGATTTCAAATCATTCTAGAATAAATAGTTTGCTAACCAGCAATTATC